ATTGGTCTAGCCTCCACAAGGACACACACACACACACACACACACACACACTCACGCGCGCCCATCATCACTTACATACAAGGACACACGCACACACTCACGCATGCACATCATCATTTGCATACGTGTACAATGATTATGTGTGCACATGCATTCACCTTTTCCCAGAAACTTTTTAACATAAAAAACACTTTGAGGGATGGAGACATGGTTCAGGGTTTAAGGGTGGTTTCGACTTTTCTATAGGACTCAATTTTTGTTCCCAGTAGCCGTATTAGGTGGCTCACAACCACCTGTAACTCCAGCTCCTGCACACATATGGCACACACACACACACACACACACACACACACACACACATTTAAAGTAAGTACATGGCTAGAGAGATGGCTCAGAGGTTAAGAGCACTAACTGGAAGAAGGGGGTGGGAGGGGAGGAGGGAGGGGCTTATGGGGAGATACAAAGTGAATAAAATGTAATTAATTTAAAAAAAAAAGAGCACTAACTGTTCTTCCCAAGGTCCTATGTTTAATTCCCAGCAACCACATGATAGCTCATAACCATCTATAATGAGATCTGGTGCCCTCTTCTGGCATGTAGACAGAATAAATGGCATGTACAAATAATAAACAAGTAAATCTTTAAAATAAGTACATGTGTACCATATGGGTTGGGCTCTTCTCTCTGTGCATTTACTGTGTTGAACTGAGACAATTAAAGGCTTTCTACTTATAACATGACTTTCTTGAAATTTTTTTCCTCTGGTTTCCTGTAGTTTCTTCTATTTTAGAGTCGGCCAGTATCAAATGCATAGATACTAAAAAGTGTATCTTCACTTGACATTTTAAAGTGTCCTCTTGTTTTCAAGGTCTGATCCCTTATTTGTTGTTCTGGAAGATTGTTATGTTTTCACTAGACTCAGAAATAGAAGCTGTCAGTGAGAACAGCTCATATCTCTTAGTAATCTGTCCCTGGCTTTTATTTCTATTTGTTTGTTTGTTTGTTTTTCTTTTTGGTGTCCTTAATTCTTTTGGCCAGAAATTTGGCATATTATACTGCCTCCTTTTTATTTTCCTTAATAAAATGTCGATAAAATGTTGTTTCTTCAGAGCAATACATTGGCATTTGTGGTACAAGACATGTGCGTTAACAAGATGCTGAACGGGGGGCTTTGGTCCTGGGATTCTTACCTGCTTTGTTGAAGTGCTTTCAGACTACATGTGGGTGGCCAGCATTTTCTTTAGAGAGACTACGAAAGTTTCTGGATTCCAAGAACTCTTTTAGGTCCCAATAACTGAGGCACAGTAGTATGTCAGTCCAGAAATATTTCCCCTCTTTGCTCAGACTGGCATCCACAGTGCGTACCCAGCAGGCTTAGCTTTCACACCCCAGCTCTCCACGGTCTGTAACAAGAATTCTCCTACTCAACAGCAGGCCCACTCTGCCATGGGTCAAGAAGTCTTGCTTCATGGGAAGCCCTTGCTTGTCATTCCCAACACTGATTCAGACCACATAACCTTTCCACTCCCCACCCGGAATATCAGAAGTGACTTCTGTGGCCGCCAACTTCTTGTGTAAAGTTTAAAGTTTGCGTTCATCATTCACTTCAGTGAATTTTTGATAGTCAGTGGCTGTGAAGGAGATATTCAGTTTCTTTTTTGACATGTCCCTGTCTAGGAGGCATCATAAAAAATAAGTCAAAGTGACCATTCCTGTTTGGTTTGGTTTGGGATAAGAGTTTCTCTGTGTAATTGAGCTCTGGCTGTCCTGGAACTCACTCTGTAGACCAGGATGAACTTGAACTCACAGAGATCTGCCTGCCTCTGCCTCCCCAATGCCTTTCTTGTTTTGTGACCTAATCTGGGATGTTTGCTTTTAAAATTTTTAGTCTGTATTTTCCTGATAATTAACTAATCCATTTAAAAGACTATTTTCAGCCCTTTTCTCCCTCTTATCCCTTGTTCTCTCTCTAATTCTTTTTTTTCCTCAGATAAATCTAACATAAAAAATTGTTCTTTCTATAGTGGGACAAGACCTTTACACCATTAATAATGATACGAGTCTCCTTTTTTCATATTCATGGAAACATGTTGTATGCAAAAGCAGCATAGTTCTCACAATTTCTGTTTTATTTGCTTTATATTTGAACTGTCCTGGTGTTGCAGAACCTTCACTCTAGCACTTTGCTCTAGCATAACTTTAATAATGTATCATTACATACTACATATTCTCTAATCCCCTTCACTTACTGTCTATTCGTTCTCTAGTTTAAATAAATAGGATTTTCTAGATCTTCATAGTTCTCCTCATATATTCTTTCTCATTGCATAATTTGAACTGAAATTCTTTAACTCTTAGTTTTTCTGTACAAGCGAGTACTTACATGAAACAAGCAACTATTTTGATCTCTTCTCCCTGGTAGGGCGACCATGCCAGCCCACAGAGCAAGAAGATCCAGGCAGTCTTGATCAGACCTGATAGACTAGGGTCAGACAGTAGGGGAGGAGGACCTCCCCTATCGGTGGACTAAGTGAGGAAAATAGGGAAGAAGTGAGAGAGAGAGGGAGACAGGGAGGAGACAAGGGAGAGGCCTACAATCAGAATATAAAATGAATAATTGTAAAAAATAAAATATTAAAAAATACAAGCAGTTAGGTAACTCTGCATTCCATTGGCTCTCTTAAAACTTTCATCTTTTTTTTGTTAGTTGATTATATTTACATTTTCAAAGCCTATAACATTAATTGCTGTTCTGTTGACTTGTCCATATCATTTTGTCTTAGTTCTGCAGTTAAATGGATTTAAACCTGCATTGTCAAATTGTATGCCAAATGTTTCTGTGATTCCATCTTTGTGTGTGTGTTTATTCTTTAGATAATTATACTAAAAAGAGCTAGTGGCGGTAGTATCCCTGGGTCCTTGCAAGTTCCTTGCCGTCTGTCTTTGACATTTACACTGAAAGTCCTGTGTGTGTGAGGGGGTGAGGGTAGGACACCAATTTGTTCTCACAAAAGCCAACCCTGCCTTCCCTTAGCCTCAGTGCCGAGTTTTTGTTTTGTGTGTTCATTCTCCTATATCTGCTGTCACAAATAAAGCTTAATGACTTAAAACTACAGAACTTTTATTCCTATAGCTCTGGATGTCAGAAGTGTACAGCCAAGGCTCTGGGAGGACAACATTTCTTCTGGAGGCACTGTGGAGCTTTCTTTTCTAGCTTCGAGAGTCTGCTTGCTTCCCTTGCTTCTTGACCGAGGTTCTAACTGTTGGTCCCACCAACATGTCTTTTTACTGACCTTTGACCCCCTTGTTTCACTCTTCTGAGGACCTCTGTGATGATATTGAGCTCTACCAGTTAGGCCAGAATCAGCCCCCATCTCTGTGTCCTGCAAAGCCCCCTTGGAGATACACGGAGATAATCACAGGTTTTTGGGATTGTCAGAGGCACATCTTTGGGGATGTTTAACCTACCAGATTTTCTTTCATCCTTAGAAAATTTTATAAACAAACAACACAGGGAAAAATAAACTTTCTACATCCTTGTTCTGGGAGGCTTTTCAGAGTATCCATTCTGTGCTACAAGTATCCACCCCTAAGTTTGTAAACTTTAGTCAAAAGGTTCACTCCAAAGAGTGAGACTTTTTAGGCTTAAGATTTGAAACTGGTCCCTCCCTGGGCAGAAGAGATGGCTCAGTAGTTAAGAGGACTCACTGCTCTTGCAGAAAACCAGGTTCCTTTCCAGCACCCACACAGCAGCTCACAACCATCTGTAACCCCAGTATCAGGGATACTGATGCCTACTTCTGGCCTCTACAGACTCCTGTACATGTGTGGTCCACTAGTGTTCACTCAGCCACATACACATACCAATAAAAACAAACAAAAACCTCTTACCTCCCTAGGATTTTTTGTTTTGTTTTGTTTTGTTTTGTTTTGATTTTCAAGACAGGGGTTCTCTGTACAATAGGTCTACCACTTTTTCTGGACTTGCTTGGTAGACCAGGCTGGCCTTGAAGCCACAGAGATCCACCTGCCTCTGCCTCCCAAGTGCTGGGATTAAAAGCATCCACCACCATGCCTGGCACCTGCCTGGTGATTTTTAAAGTAAAGAATTGGGAGTTTCTGCCCTAAAGCTCATTGATACCCAGCAAGTGGGAACACAAAGAGCAAGTGTTGGCACAGAGTGGGAGGGGAGGGAAAGGCCAGGCCCTCTCATTTGAGGCTAAGCCCCTGGTATTGCATGCTGTTATCCCTCAGCACAGCTCCTCAGGGTCTTCCTCCATTTATTCAGTCATCTTGAGTCACTGTTCTCTGTGACCTTGCATAGGAATAAAGTCTTAACATTCTATAATTAGAGAAAAATGAATTGCAGTAATTTTATCTGTGTATGTATCTTACTGGTCCTTTGAGGGCTTGTCACAAAAAAGAATACTGTGGAAGAAGGCATCCCTGACTCATCTCTGCCAAGTATAAAATGTGCTCTCTCCTCTCTTCAGCTCTTTCTCTGAGAAAAGCATATACATTTTCTCAACTCAGTGTTTCTTGTGTGATGGGACTATGTTCAGTTTAACATCAGAACTCTAGAGCCCTCGGTTGGATATGTCAATAGAAATTATTGAGTAGAACACTGTGGTCAGCTGCATAAGCTTTTATTGATGCATTTGGATGACAACGGACAGATAGCAGAGATAAAACAGCTCTGAAACCTCCTAAAAGCTGAGGGGAATTTGATGCATTTTTTTTCCTGTTTCTGAGAGTGCAGGCACAGCAAAGCAGGCAAGAGGGGTGAGTTTAGACAAGAAAGTGCTTTATAGAAATGATCACTGAGAAAGAACCAAATGGGAAGAATCATGGCTTTCCAGCAAAGTTCCAGGGCAGGGCAGAGCAAGACAGGGTAGGCCAACCTCACCTAGCACCAGCTGTCTTCTGGTACTAGGCACTGCAGTCAGAAAAAGTCGTGGCTGGTTTGTCTTCCAGTAGGAACATAGTCACTTGGCAGTGATTCATTTCTTTTCCTTCATCTGTGCTGTATCCTGGCCTTGAGCTGAAGGAGCACCAGAGTTCAGGCTGCCTAGATCCTGGCTTTGGATCACTGTTTCCCTTGTGTGCTCATTGACCCACTCCTCTCTAACCACGGTGGGTGCTCTCTCTTCCTGCCCTCCTGTCAGACTTGGGTGATTGCTCCTCCATTCTTGTCTTTCTTTCACAGTGTTTGTCTCAGTCTGGACCTGTCCTCCTAGAACTGGCTCTCCTGTATCATAGTTGCTTACTGGTGTCCAGCTTTGTCTCTCACATGACTGTATTTGGGTTTGTCCCTTTTCTTGATCCCATACTTGACTTGTGGACTGGCCAGAATGCTCCAAAGTCCGAGTATATGATCCTGCCTGTGTCTGGTAGTGTCCTATCCCCACCTGGCCTGCCTGACTACTATCTTGCTGATGGATCTCAGTCTCTCTGTTTTGGCCACAGATGGACCCATGCATCTCAATGCTGCTATTTTCTGCCTGCTGGCTCCTGCCTTGTTCCACTGTCTGGGCATGTGTCTGAGTATATGATTCTTCCTGTGTTTGCCAGTGTACTTTAGTAGCTTGCCTTTCCTGGTTCCTATCTTGGCCATGAGTCTCAGTCTTTCTGTTGTGATCATAGATGGATCTCTGTGTCTGGATGCTGCCATTTCCTGTCTGCTGTCTCCAACCCTGTTCTACCATCTGGGCATGTATCTGAGGGTGAGACCCTGCCTGTGTCTGGTAGTGTTGTGTAGAAGCTTGGTCTGCCTGGCTCCTGTCTTGGCTATGGCTGTTAGACCGTCTGTTCTGGTCACTGGTGGACTCCTGTGTGGTGTAGGTACCTGCTTGAGTCTGAGTTGTGGTTCCAGCTGTGATATCGTCTGTCTGTTGGCTAATTTGTGACTGCTGCTCTGACCTCCTCTCTTTGGTGCAACTCTTGTCTTCTATTCCCTGGGTCTGCTCCGGCTGTCCTGTCATTTGTATTTGCTGGCTCTGAGACTCAGCCTGCCTGTCAGGACTACTGACCTGTGTAGGGTAACTGTCCTGGCCATGGGCGTGTGTCCACCCTACCTGTCCCCTAGAAGCCTGATCTCTCTGCCCATATCTGTCCTCACAGCGCTGCTCAGTTCCGTCCTTTGACACTCCAGTGGCCCCTCTCTGGCCTTGCTCCAGCTCTTTTGACGATACAGGATAGCAGGTTTCAGACTTGTCAGACATGCAAACACCTCTAGGACGCTCATTCAGTGTCTCAAAGCAGGCCCGAGCAACTTTAAACACTAATACCAGGAATTCCTTGAACTCTACAGTCCCTGTGTTATCTTCATCCAACAGGCACAAAACTTCGTCCACAGTCGCAGGATCATGGGGCTTCTGGGGGAGAGATGAGGACAAGTCAACACTGCTCCTCTGAGGAGAACCTTGTCAGATTATTCGCACTCAGCTTCTAGGCTCCCTCACCCCACTGCAGCCTGGGAGCTCGCAGACCTACTGTGCTGCCCACAGCATCTCAGGGTTAATGTTTCATTGCTGTGTCTTTTGTTCTAGCATCTGTCTTACTCACAGGCAGGAGGCACCTTTTGTTTTATATATTCTTGATTTCAGTTCTGCAGGATGATCGACAGGGTAAAGACTTATTGAAGAAGGAGTGTGTGTGTGTGTGTGTGTGTGTGTGTGTGTGTGTGTGTGTGCGCTTCTTATTCGACTATCTGGGCTCCTGGCTCCTTCTTGTGGCTGCCCTAGGCACTTTGCCTCTGATTCCAACTCCACAGGAAGCACTGCAGAAGCCTGGCTCTGTGGGCATCCAGAGAGCTTCCATGATGGAGAGTCCCAGCAGAGCAGCAGACTGCTAGAAGCAAGCAGGCACCATCCTAGTGTGCCAGTCATGGCATACAGGACCTCACTAAAAGGTCTGCTTTAGATGTAAACCAAAGGCGGAAGAGCGCATTAGGGCCCTGGTTCTGGCTTGCTGGGTGGGGTGGGGCTCTCAGTGTTGCCTGTACCAACAGCTGTCCAGAACTAGTGCTCCAAAATTTCATTTTGACTTGACTAGTATTTAGATAATACTTTGAAGCAATTGCTTTGTGCAAGGCAAAATCAATCTCTTAATGAACGGTAACGCGCAATCCCATTTCAGACAGGTACAGGAAAGTTTACCGTATCGGACTTGAGAAGCACCGGAAAGCGGCGACTACTTTCTCTCTTTTTTTTTTTTTTAATTTTTTATTAATTACACTTTCTTCATTTTGTATCCCCCCATAAGCCCCTCCCTCCTCCCCTCCCGATCCCACCCTCCCTCCCCTTTCTGCATGCATGCCACTCCCCAAGTCCACTGATAGGGGAGGTTCTCCTCTCCTTTCTGATCTTAGTCTATCAGTTCTCATCAAAAGTGGCTGCATTGTCCTCTACTGTGGCCTGGTAAGGCTGCTCCCCCCTCAGGGGGAGGTGATCAACGAGCAGGCCAATCAGATGATTACTTTCCCTTTTAGACCATTTGAAGAATCTGTTCTTGCCTGAACTGTCTCCTGAGAGTCTCTTTACCTCATCTTAAATTAAAATTAATTAAAACAGAGAATCAGATTCAAGAATCTGCCCTTTCTCTAAGAATCAGGATGTCTAGCCTACTGTGACCTCTTTTCCTTCATGTTTTTCTTGTCTGCCTATGCAATTGCTATCAGCTAGCAGGGTTGAATTTGGCTGCTTGCTCTTTGCATTCTCTAGGTAAGAGCCCTTGCAGGTAAACGCACTTTGGCTGTTCTTATCCTGTCTCTCCCTTTCACCCCCACAGATCATACCACTATGACGTCGGCAAACTCATGTTCGAGGAGGGTCTTCAGCTCCCCCCGCGTGAGCACTTTGCAGCCACCCTCTGACCTGGCGTAGCACCCAAAGGCTTCGATGATCCCATGAATGTTTTGCAGCAACTGAGGCATCTGTGAAGCTCAGCTGGAAAACAGGAAAAGTGTCTTTGTGGGCACCATAGTGAGCCCCTGCTGTTTCCTCACAGTACTCCAAAGCTCTGTCCTTTCACTGTGTCTTCAGTGTGTTTTGGGTTTCTATGCCTTCCTCAAAATGTACTTTATGAAGGGAAAGAGAAGTTCTCAGGACTTGGAAGTTTCTGAGTCAACCCTTAATGCCATGCTCTGCCACCTACGTGATGTGAATGGGACCAAGATGCTTTGCTTGTCTGTGCCTTGGTGAATGGAGCTGAGCAAGCAGTTACTCCAGACAGGTATCATGAAGACTTAAAGAGATAATTCATAAAAAGCACCCAGCTGATGTCTGGTTTATTCTAAGTGGCAGCTATTAAGTATTATTATTATTATTATTATTATTATTATTATTAACATATATAATTTGTGTACAACTATAGACACTGTACTGCTCACAAAAGCTCTTTTCTGTTAGCATATCTTATGATCCTTATTATCACCACTATTTTTATAGGTGGTGAAAAAGGCTGAGAGGAGATAGATTTGTGAAGGCCACACATTATTTTCTTTTAACCCAAATGTAGTTTAGTTCTTTAGAATGTACCTTTGGACAATTGTTTGTTTGTTGTTTGTTTTATTTTGCTTTGTTTTTCTCTAGGGTGTTAAGTACACACAGGGGTTAGAGCCCCCAAGGCCCAGCCCTACCCTCTCTATTTCCCTGTGAAAAGGATTCAGGAAGGAGATGGGATACACCTGTCAGAGATAATGGGGTTAGGCGTGCCTTTCTGAGGTAGGAGAGTCTGAGATACTCTCTGCCTTCAGCCCTGGAACCTGTCAGAAAGGTCAGCATCTGTAAAAGACATGTGGTCCATCAAGTCTAAAGTGCTGGTGAGCTGTGATGGATGGTTCTCAGTCAAAAGAGAAAATTTTCCTCCCCCTGATGGGAGAGCAGCCTTACCATGCCACAGAGGAAGACAATGCAGTCAGTTCTGATGAGACCTGATAGACTAGGGTCAGAGGGAAGAGGAGGAGGACCTCCCCTATCAGTGGACTGGGGAAGGGGGATGGGAGAAGATGAGGAAGGAAGGATAGGATTGGGAGGGGATAAGGAGGTGGGCTACAGCTGGGATACAAAGTGAATAAATTGTAATTTATAAATAAATAAATAAATTCATAAAAAAAGAAAAAAGAGAAAACTTTCACTTCTATTAAGCAGGAATTTGGAGGTAGGTTAAGTGTGAAGATGGGTATGACTAAATGGAAGTAGGCATATATGTGTTAAATAGACTTAGAGAGACCAGAAGTAGGAAAAGTGCCAAAGATGATGAGGTTTAAGTTCAAGGGGAGACAGAAGCTGCTTAAGGCTCTATGGGGACCCTTCTTGCCCCCAGAATGCCAGGGAAGGGACTTCAGAGATGAAGAGGAGGATTGTGTAAAGAGGATGACATAGGTAGAGAAACAGGAAGTGAGGGAAATCAAGTCAGAGGACTGAGGAAGTCCAGACTCCAGGTGGGCTGCACAGGGATGACTTTCCACTGACCCAGGAGTCAATAACTTAGACTCTTTCCTCTGTGTGCCTCATGGCATATAACTTCAAATACCCCTTATGTTTTAGAAACAAATAACAGTCTTTAATCACTGACCTATAATGAAAAGGACAAAATGTTCTTTAAGTGATGAATCAAATTATTAGGATAAATCTACAAATTCATCTTGCCTATAGAAAAACTTAGGAAGGAAGTTCATATTGGACCCTTCCCCCATAAAACAATTTATGTCTGGGTTGGCAGAAACAATCTGATTCCAAGCCCACAGGCGCAGAATCTGGGATTCTGATCCCAAAGGCACGGCCTTTGCAGAAGTCTCTTCTGCAAAGAAGTCTCTTCTGCAAAGAACCTCCCAGAGCCCTAAAAAGGAAAAAAAAAAATAATTACGCTGATCCAGGAAGGTGCGTGGGTGGTGGGTGGCCCCATTGCTCCTGCCCACAGCACTTAGTCAGAAAAGCTGCAGGCTAGACCCAGGGAGAGGAGAAAGCTAGATTGCTTCAGAAGAGCAGCATTTCCCAAGTGCTCTGGCTTCAGCCTGCCTAAGGCTCTGTGGGGGCCCTTCCTCCAGCTAAGCACTGAGACCAGGCAGCTCAGATCTGGCAGCCCTGGATTCATGAGTTTAGTGTGCCAAGACACTGAGAATGAGCAAGAAGTTCTGAAGGGAACTTACCTAATGCCCAGGAAGGAAGGGACAAGTTTCTGTTATGCAGTGTGTAGAGTACTTGTCAGTGGAACGAGAACCTTTTATAGAGGATTTAATGGCACTCGTATTTTAGACAGGATGTCTCCACCCTACAAGAAGGCTTGATTCATCCAAAGCTCAGCCCAGCCCAGCTCCACCTCCTTTCTTCTCCAGATCACCTTCTGACCCAAGGCTGCTTTCTTCTAATTACAGGCCCTTTCTACCATGGTTAGAGCTGTCTCTTGCTATGTCTGTCCCCTATGACTAGGAGGCCCCTTTTCAATGAGCAGGGCTCAGCACTACTTTGCACAGGCCTGAGATCCTAGGGAATACTGAGCATCTCCAGGAACCTGCAAAGTCATAAAAGACTTTGATTCTTTATTCAACCATTCAAAACACATCTGTTTATTGAAGACTGTTCTTTTCAAAGTACTTTATTTTTCTTCTGATACTGCGGCTGTTACTTATACATGTTCTCAGCTCTTGTTCTGTAATTTCCCTTCATCCTAGTTTAAAAGGTCTCAGTGTGTGTCTGTGTGTGTGTACATGCACACACGTACATACATATACATGGAGGCTAGAGGTAAACCTTAGATATTGCTCTTCAGGCACCTAATACAGTCCAGTTTCTCTCTCTGGCCTGAAACTCAGCGATTAGGCTAGGCTAGCTGGCCAGCAAGCTCCAGGAATCTTCCTGTCTCCAATTCCTCAGTGCTGGATTTGCAAGTACACACCGCCACAAGAACTCAGGTCTTGTGATTTTAAAGTTAAATATTTTTATAGACTGAACTATCCATCCCCAACCCAGGATGTAGTCTCAATTTTTATTAAAATTAAAAGAAATCACTTCCTGCTCTGAGTAGGTAGCATTTTACAGCTGTTAAGAAAGAGGCTTACTGTGCTCATGCATGGTATATCTACCAGGCAGAAGGAACCCAGTGAGTGGCTCTGTGGATGTGAGAGGCAAGGCCAGAGGAAAGAACCCTTCTTCATACTGACTCATACAAACCCCTCTCCTCTGCACTTCGCAGCAACGTCCAAGGTGAAAGTCTGTCACTTCAGCCTGGGAGAGCAGCTGGGGCTTGCACAGTGGTTCTCTCCTGCCCTATTTCATACTCACTGTCTCTGGGCTACAAGAGGAATACACTGTGTCAACTGTAAGTTGACACACCCTAGAGGCCACTGTACACAATTTAGTGGGCTCAGCATCATCTGTTAAGTTATGTGTCTCTTCCAACATTGCATGATCTGCATCAAATGTCAGATCGTCATCGTTTAGTGGGAGAGATATCAAGACTTCTCTTAGGCTGGGTGGCAGGTGACTTTTCACTCTGAAGGTTCTTGAGTGGCCTAAATGTCTGTGATCAGAAGAGCAGTCACAAATCCCTCTCTTCCTGAAAACCTGATCACCAGGCCTTACACTCACTGATGAATGCACAATGATAAAGTGGGGGTGATTAGAGGGTGGCCATTTATGCTGTACCCTCAAAGTACCAAACAGTGTGACTTGAGTTCGTCTAAAAACACTCACATTTTAAAGTTATTCTGAAGACTGATTATAAATCAGTGATTGCAGAGTTAGAATATGCTAGTGAGAGCCAAAATGACCTCAGGCTATCCTTAGTTCTTAAAAGTTCTTACACTCCACCTGTGTATCTGACTTAATACCATTTTAACTTCTTGACTAAACTTGGAATATATTGCTAAACTTGTCATGTCTAGTTTGTACCAACTCAGAAGATAAGGATGTCATCAGAGCACATCTGAAACATGTAGAGATTTCTTTATCTTTGTGTCACTCATCTGCATGATGTCCCAATCAGGATGTTCAGTAAGTGTAATTTGTAACTATTTTTTTTTTCTGAGTCTGTAAAATGTTTGTGTAGCTTCCACAATGGAGCATGTTACCTGAGGCACCCTGATTGGTGTTATCAGATCATGGTCACTCATGGTTTAAGAATAACTTATTTCCTCTGGAGCAAGGTTGTTTTCTGTCGAAATACAGAACATTCCATGATTCTTTGCTTTAGAAAAGAGTAAAACAAACATACTAAAATCCACAGACCTAAAGAAGATAAACAACTAGGCAAGATGCTTAATTCTCATTCAGAAAGAAAAACAGGATAGACACCAGAAGCAGCAGAAGAGAATGAACAGGACAGGAACCCACAATAGATCTCCTCTAAAAGACTTTATTCAGCAGGGGATCAAAGCAGATGCAGAGACTCACAGCCAAACTTTGGCTAGAGTGCACAGAGTCTTATGGAAGAAAGGGGATATAGAAAGACAGGAGCTCCACAGGGAGACCAACAAAGTAAAAACAAAAACAAAAACAAAAACAAACAAACAAAAAGCTGGGCTCAGGGAGGACTACAGAGACTGATGCATCAACCAAAGACCATGCATAGAGAGGACATAGACCTCTTGCTCAGATATAGTCCTTAGACAGTTCAGTCTACATATGGGTTTCCTAGCAAGGGGAGAAGAGTTTCTGACATGAACTTGGTTGCCTGCTCTGTGATCACTTCTTCCTGGTGGGGCAACCTAGTCAGACCACAGAGGAAAAGGATCCAGACAGTCCTGATGGAACCTGATAGGCTATGGTCAGACAGTAGAGGAGGAGGACTTCCCCTATCAGTAGACTAGAGAAGAGGGATAAGGAAGGAAGAGGGAGGGAAGGTGGGACTGGGAGGAGATGAGGGAGAGGGCTACAACTGGGATACCAAGTGAATAAATTGTAAAAAATAATAATAAAAAAGAAAAGACTAAAA